CTAAACAAGTTAGAACCTCCTTTTCAGGCTTTTGAAAATTTCAACCTTTTCAGGGTTTGAAAATTTCAGTGCCTGCCAGATACTACAAATGAGTGTAATAGCTCAGGGTCAGGCGCCTATGCTGACTTTAGGTGGGTATGAGGAATATTAGCCATAGAGCTTTTCTGCCTTTGTTGAGAGGCTAAAACTCCAGATCTGTGTGGGAAATAACCCAGATTTTACAGCAGTTCTCAGCTGTTAAAGATCATTGTACATTGGTGTCCAGGTGAACAGTAGCGGACTGTATGTGGCTTTTTTGTGCCCACTGATCTATATTCTTGACTATATCTGTGATAGAACCAAAGGAGACATTTGGTCCTGGCAGCAGGTGCCTACTAATACTTTCTTTGCTTTCATTTCATCATTATGTATATGTATCCCCTTCTCTTGTGTTAGTCAGTTTTCATCATTCTTACCAAATACCCAAAAGGGGGCCAGAGAGACTGTTCCACATTTCAGAGCATTTGTTATTTCTGCATGGCACCCAGATTCAGTTCCCGCACTGATGTGAAAGCCTTGTTAGCCAATTATCTTTAAGAGGTGGATCCAAGTTAAGGTGTGGCTTTCTGGGACAGGGAATAAAACAGGTGCACAGCCCAGGTGCGCTTCTTTCTCTCTCTCTCTCTCTCTCTCTCTCTCTCTCTCTCTCTCTCTCTCTCATTCCCATGGGGGCACAGCTGAGCTTGGATTTCTCGTTCCTGTTTAAATTAGTTTTCCCCTTATAATAAATAAAAATATAATTGCTTTATACTTTTGCCACTCTGGTTATTTCCTGAATCAAGCTAATTTTTACAGTTGGCGCCTCATGTTGGGGGCCATTCTGTTGACTGAGGTTCCTGTCCTGCCAGGTTCCCACAGTCATTAAGTCCCAACGAAATCACACAGAGGTCTACATTAATTATAAACTGATTGGCCTAGTATCTCAGGCTTCTTATTAACTCTCATAACATATATTAGCCCATAATTCTTGTCTGTGTTAACCAAGTGGTTTGGTACCTTTTTCGGTGAGGCAATCACATCTTGTGTCCTCTGTGTCTGGGTCACAACTGTAGACTGAAACTTCTCTCTTTCCAGAATTCTCATTGCCCCACCTCTACTTCCTGCCTGGTCACCCCACCTATACTTCCTGCCTGGCTACTGGCCAATCAGTGCTTCATTAAAAATAATACAAATGGCAGGATAAAAGACCATTGTCCCACAGCACCACACTCTCATGATGCCTCACAACTATATGTAATTACAGTTCCAAAGGATCAGATACCTTCTGCATTCATCATGCATGTACACAGTACATATACATTCAAGGAAAACACTAATATATATGAAAGAGAAAAAAAGAAATATTTTTTTAAATACTAAAAAAATTTTTAAAGAGGCACACAATTTTAGAGATTTCCACCTGTGGATTGACTTTAATGATGGTAGGCCTATCTAATATCAACGTATGATGAGGCAGACCAACATTGTAGGGAGCATGTAGTAGACAAAGTGCTTACACCATATCAAGCAGAGAAGTGGAGATGAAGGTAAGTCCTAGCTTGTTCAATAATATATAAGCAATGGGAGTTTATATGGAACTGGTAAGGAGGTAAGTTTAAGATCAAAGGGCACATCTAGTGAGGGTCTTCATGTTTCATGGTGTGGTAGAAGGTATTATAGAGAGAGAAAGAGAAAGAATAGCTTCAAGGCATTTCTAATCGGCATTAATCCATTCACAAGGGTACATGCATGATTTCAGGTCCTTTCATTAAGCCTTCACTTTCTCACACTGTTGTAATCAGAACTAAGTTTCCAACACATGCCTTATTATTATTATTATTATTATTATTATTATTATTATTATTATTATTAAGTTTTTTGAGACAGCGTTTCTCTGTAGCTTTGGAGCCTGTCCTGGAACTAGGTCTTGTAGACCAGGCTGGCCTCGAATTCACAGAGATCTGCCTGCCTCTGCCTCCCAAGTGCTGGGATTAAAGGCATATGCCACTACCGCCCGGCCCAACACATGCTTTTGTGGAAACACCCAATCAAGTCTCAGCAGGATTTAAGAGAAATAAAGCCTCGCAATTATACATATCTATAAAAATGTTTTTCCAGTGTGAGAGAATCAGTGGCAGGGCTACACTTCTGGTGTGAATGCTATCTTAGAGATAGCAGTTACATAGAAGAGGAACTTGGGCAACATGTCCCCATGAAAGGTTTCTTGGAATGAGTCTTTCAGGTTTGGTTTCCATGCACCTTCCTTTCACCAGGTATTGTGAAAATAAGTAATCATTAATGTTTTCAGAGATGAACTAAATGAAACTGAAAATTAACAAAAAAAGATGTAAGGAAGAAAGTTCTTGTCTATTTACCATTTCTGAATATCTGAATATTTGTGATCTCATCTTTCCACCTCTACTCTGTGCATAGATCAATGAATAATCAATACTTATTGAGCATGTGCTGTTCTTTAAGTACATGGTATCTATAACCTTATTTAAGCCAGGCAACAGTTCTTACCATCAAGATTATATATGTCTCCTATTTTATAGGTGAGGCAACTGAGGTTTTAAGAGATTAAGGAACTTATCTATGGGAAGTGGTAAATTCAAAACCTGTGTTACAGAACTCTCTAATGTCAAAGCTAGTACTCTCCATATCTGCCTAGGTGGCAGGGGAAAAATAAAGTGCCTATTTGAAAGATGAGCCTGTGAGAGCAGACATATATCTTGACATGCCCGAAGTAATAGAAAGTTAGAGAAGTAGGGGAAGTTCACAATAATCTTAACCTTTAACCAGTCGTGAAGACGAGCACAAGTCATCATTGATATGTCACTAAAATTCATGTTTTGTAATATAATCTAATATGCATTATGATGCAATCCACAGAAAATCTAGTCATCTTACAGTTACCAGAACTGAGAATCAAAAAGTTAAAGCACAAACCTCTCCAAGTCAAAGAACTGATAGGTAGTGAGGCCTGGATTCAAAGTCAAATTTCTCCATTTTCCATATAAGGCTTATCTTGAGGAATATACTTTAGAGCAGAACACGTATACCCATAATGAGACAGGAAGACCACCATCCAGAAGGATTTGTGCATGGGGATAGAACAGTGGTAGAGGAGAATGTTTGAAATCAAAGTATAATGAAATATATGTAGAAACCATCATAGTAAATTCCATTAGCCTATATATTAACCAAAATAATACAAAAAATTAAAATAGACAAAAAAAACTTGTGGCTTCTCATGATGAACTCAGCGATAGAACATTTGGTTGCCATATGCAAGGTCCTGGGTTCCATCCCTAGCACCAGAGAAAAATCTCTTAGGCTTTAAAGATGTATTGTTTAGTTATTCTATTCAGTCAAATACATAAATTAAGGAATTAGAGGATTTTTTAGAAGGGAATGTCATTACTGACCAAACACATTTGGTGATATGAACTAGCAATAAAGAAAGCATTACAAAGTAAAAGCACCATCAATTCTATTTAGAGAAGAGATTAGAATCTTGTGTAGTTAGTGAGTTTTATCATCTGTGTATATATATAATAAGTCACAACAGTCCCTAGTAGCTAGATCAACTCTTAGATTTTAAGATATGAACACACCAGGGATGAAAGAGATTAATGGCTCTTGGCCACTGTACAATTGATTTACACGGTTTTCTCATTTTACAAATCTCATGACTCCAAAGGCAGAAAATCCTACTATTTTCATTTTGTGGGAAAAAAGTGGTTTGGGCGGGATTTTGGAAGGGAAGCGGTATTAAATGTGCCTGTTAACTATATTGGGGTTTTCCTGCACTTCCAAGACTTCACGGCAGAGGAGGAGCTGGGAACAACTGTAGCCCCTAGAGGATCCCAGGAATCTCATTTCATCTAGAGGTTTTACTATGTCATTTACTGCTATCAGAGTCTTGTTTTGTAAATTTTATTTTGTGGTATTGCCTTTTTACAACATGTTTTAGTATATCCTGCGAGACAATTCTTAATCCACTTTTTAAACAGTTCCCTTGGGTATGAAAAAATTTTTTTTCTATTTGAACCCAGTGTGGCATCCTGTTCTACATCCCCTACACATTAAGCTGAATAATCCCAAAGCATGTTCTGGCAATGATAAATGCCAATATTTTATGATGACATCCCAGGAATTTGATTGGAGCTCCCGACTGATAGGAGAGTTATGTTTACTATTTGGTGATTTAAGCAGAATACTAAGTACATTTGTTAGAAGTATTAGATGCAAAAGGGAATATTCTCCACTTTTAGTGACACATCCAATACAACTCCAACATCCACCAGTGGATGAATACTTAAATTATGGGACAGTCATTGTGTAGAATAACATGCAAGCCACAGGAAGAAAGAAGATCTGAATTTATGGATTTCTACTAGGCTCCACATTAAGCATTTTATATACACTGTTTCATTTAATTCCTATGACAAAAGCATGTCATTCTCACTATTTATGCAAAACCACTGAGTCTTAACCAAAGCACTGCAGGTTGTAAATGGTATCGTAATAGTAAGGCCTGAATTCTGTGAGCTGCCAAATCCATTTCCCTTTCCAGTTACATTACAGTAGCTTATAAATGTCAAAGCTATATGTGTGTATAGTTGATTCTGTCATGGAGATTTTGTTCAAGATGAATGGTGACTTATATAACCACATAAAATGAGAAAAGCCTTATGTAATAGCAAAACAAACACATCTGGATGCCAAAACTGAATTACATACGAATGAGAGCTTTTCTAGCTCTTCCCATGATTGAAAGAACATTTCAGAGCGCATTTTAAGGCTGGTTTCATGTGCTAAAAGGTGAGGATTTTTCTAGTATTCACAGAGCTATTTCTCTGTTTACACCATTGAGTTCTATGAATCAATACAGAAGTCAACTGCAATCATTTGTTTTTAATATGAAAATCATTGGTGTACTTAATTTTTACTACTTCTTATTCTTTTAATATTTACAGATGGACAAAAGAGAAAGAAATCATTGAGAAAGAAACTGGATTCCCTAGGGAAGGAGAAGAACAAAGACAAAGGTAAAGGGCCAAATAACTAAAACCAATGTATCTTGCAGGGAGCATGCTGGTTTGATTGGGTAGAGATTTTTAATTACATCAGTTTACAGGGTTGGGTTCTATTATGTAAACCGAATTTCTGTAATGGAATGTCATTGAGAGCTGGTGTAGGTCTACTTTTCTGTGATTTAGTATCCTTAGGCTGAACTGATGAGTTCAGCTGGTTTGAGCAGTGGGCAACTATAGCCAATGTTATGGTTCCAATTATTCTGTCCAATCAGCTATGTCTAAAGACGACCAGGGTTGAGTAGCCATGGACAACATGCCTAATACTAACCAGGTGTTTGGTAAATGGAGACAATTAAGCAGGACTAACTAAATGAAAAAGAGTTTAGATTCATCCACTATGAATACAGAAAAGAAACAATCTTCTTCTCATGGCTTACTGAAGATAGGTCATCCTCAGCAAGTTTTTTAGATCACAGAATGCTTGGTTTGGGTCCCAAATGTTTTTGGCAATGACTGGCTTTCATCATACTGATTTGTGTCTATTTCTATGGCTATTTAGGGAAATGACACTTAAGTCAGTCTTTCAGAGACATTTGTGGTCAATTTGAATTTGTATTCTTTAGTTGTAAGGGTCACCTGGACCCCATTAACACAGTGTAATTTTTATGACTTGTTATTGAATTATATGAACTGATTGTTGAATGGTGTGATTGAGTGAATGCATGTTCATTTTATGTGCCGCGATGAGTGAGAGTTGAATGAAGAAAGACACATGTCTCATTTTGACGTTCTCATATATCTAGTGACTGCATTTATGCTTGCAGTAGAAAACAATGACTTTTAAAATAAATGCATTGTGAATTGTACTAGACAAGCCTTATTCCAACGCTGACACCAGTTTACACACACATAGCTTCAAGTGTGCTTTAAGCTTCATGACATTTGGACATAAGGAATGGAAACTCACTGTTTTACTTCCCTTCCAGTGGTGTTTGTCTTCCTTGGTGCTAGTAGCAATGTAGACTGGAAAATTTTTGTGGCATATGCTGTAATTCACAGTGGGAGATGTTTAGCAGCATCCTTGGCCTCTGCTAACTAAGTGCCTATAACACTGCCTCCAGTTTAGCAGCATCATTGGCCTCTTCTAGATGACAGTAGCCCTGCCTCTAGTTTAACAGCATTCTTGGTCTAGCTAAGTGCCAGTAGCACTGTTTCTAGTTTAGCAGCACCCTTAGCCCCTGCTAAATGCTAGCAGCATTGCCTCTAGGCAGACTGTGCTCAGCCTTCTAAATGTATACCTCTAGCTGGGCAAAAAAGAGATAAAAGTGTTAGGAATCCATACCTCTTGCTGCAAGAAAGAATTATAGCTGTAATATTTAAATAACCTGAGGCCGAAAGGCTGTGGAATGTAACTCAAGGGTAAAATACTTGTCCAGAATACACAAGATTAATGTTCTGTGCCCAGCATCCCGCCCCCCAATACAAACCAAAGAACACCTAATTGGCAGATCCTCACTGCAATGAATCTGAATATTGTTAGGCAAAAATATCTCAGGCATGAACTGTTGTTGTTGTTTACAAATAAAAACTCTCACTATATACATTCTAACATGAGAACTGAGATCATATTCACCAGGATACTCAGTAGGATATGAACAACTTCAGCAGAATTTGTTGCTAGAATAATGAAGACCAAGGGTGGGCTAGCTGCATATCCACTGTCTGATAAATTTTATTACACATATATAACCGATGTTTTATAACCCTTAATTTTTGTGTTTTATCTCTGACAATTTCATGAATATGTATTATAGTATATTATATTGTCATCATGTATTATACTATATTGCATATAGTATATTATAGTATATTGTATATTGTATTGTGATCATATCCACTCCCTCTCACCTCCTCTGATCTCTTCCTGCTAATCCTTTTCTTTTTCTAACTTGTCCCCTTACTACATTTCTCAATGTCCCCGTGACTTTAGAGGGGGTGAAATTGATGAGTCATTTAAGGTTGGGCTCTTACCTACACCAGTCCCACAGTTATCCATGGGAGATCTATCCAAGGACTTTCCATGGATGACTCAAATTTTGACTAATAGTAAATCTATGTACAGTATACTTCCCTTTGTATACATGCATACATATGGTAAAATATAATTTATAAATTAGGCAAACTAGAAGCCTAACCAAAATAATTGACAATAAGACAATAATTATAATATGCTGTAATAAAAACCATTTAAAACAAATGACTTTCTTATTTGGTAATTTTCGACTTAATTTTACTACAGTTTTCTGTGAGTAACTGAACACTTAAAAGTGAAGACAACTATACGAGTAATTAGTTACTGCTTCAAGTTGCTTTGCTCTAGGATTTGAAACACAATAAAGATGTTAGCCTATTCTTTAGAAAGTACCAATTCAGAGTACTAGAATGAATTTTTATTTTTTGGCATGGGAAAATTGATGTTTGTATTTCCTAAAACTGGTGTGTGGGATGCGGGGTGGATGGGTGTGTGTGTGTGTGTGTGTGTGTGTGTGTGTGTATACACTCATCTGCGCATACACTCATATTGTATATAAAGAAATCAGAAAGAAAGAACATGAGTTAATAGGGAAGTAAGAGTTAGCAAGTAAAAAACTAATTAGTGTCCTCTGGGACATAGCAATGGTTCAGACCAATTCATGCTAATGTATACCCAGTAAAAGCTTGACAGTATTCAGTATTGACATAAGAGAAGATGAGTGGAGAAATGAAGTAAGGTCTTGGTGATTCCAATGAAAAGGCAGACCATCCATCTATCTAAGGAGAGAAGTACCAAGCTTCACTGTATGAAGCTTGCTCTGCATGAATTCGCTTTAGTGGGTAAAAATCAAGGAAGTCTAGGCTTAACTGAAGAGTTACTTCTTGACAACTCTTCAAAACATAAAGCCTTGTCCATGTCAACACAGGGAGCCATTACTAGACTATCTTGGGAACCGGAACTTGGGGATGGCTGTGTGCCGGTGTGACACTTTTGTAATCAGTTCACATTCTTTCCTTCCCTTTCGATCTTATTGTCTGAGTTCACAACAGAGGTAAATGTGAAAAACGGTCAGTTCTGAAATCCAGGAGGGAAAGAAGGAAAACAGGAAACTCTGAATGACCTCTTAGGTTAGGCCATCTAAAAATAAAGGAGAGCAGCTCTTCACGGTTGACCTGCTCTCCCAATAAAAAAAATGATTCACAAATCTTTGATATGCTACCTTATTAATTTATTCCATCAGCATGAAACATATCCTGCATGATATTTAATTTTTGATATAAAAATATATAACAAATCATATGACATTCTTGCATCCAGGCTGTTACTTAAACAAAGCTCATCTAAGTTTTGGTTACCATATGGAAACTAATTCAAGATTGACATTGGTTTGCAAAACATATTTTCAAACAAAAGCTTTCCAAGTTCCTAGTCTCTTGTAGCTTAATTATTTGGCAAACAAAAGTAACTTTCAGAAATTCAGAAAATTTCTTTCTTGTCTCACAAAAACAAAACAAAGCAGTCTGTGGAAAAGCTAAATAAATAAATAAATAAACAGTTTAAAAACCATTTTGATCTAGTTCCATGGTTTCCTTAATCAAGGTACATTGGGACAAAGTGTTACTATGGCATAACTTTCCACCAGGACACAGACAGGGTATCAACATGAAAAGAAGATTAGTTCAATTGTGGTACCCTTTTTGGTATCAAATTCCTGTGTCGTGTCTTATGGTTACTCACTGTCCAGGTCACTATATGGGAGCTCTCAAGTAAAACTACAAAAGATTATTTGCTGCAACTTCCATTTTTATTTTATATTAAGTAGTAATAGAAAAATTAAGAATTAATTACGTGTAGACATTCTTCAAGAAGATAGATTCAATAGTATCATAAAAATCCAACATTATGGGTTAAGGACATCATTCAGTAGGTAAAGTAGCTAACACACAACTGTGAGAACCTTAATCAAACCCCTAGAACCTTCATAAAAATGCCAGATTTAGTGGTGTGTGCCTATAACCCCAGAAAGGATGAAATGGGAGGTTGAGACAGGTGGATCCCTGAAAGCTTACTGACCATCTTGCCTGTAAACTTGGCAAAATTCCAAGCCAATGAGACTTCTGATTCAAATAAAAGGTGGTAAGTACCTGAGCAGGGAAATCACGGTTTTCTGACCTCTTCATGTGCGTATGCAAATCCAAATCCCCAAGAACCCCGTAACATGAACATGCACACATAACATGCACACACACACACACACACACACACACACACACACACACACAAACCATTACTGGAAAAGAGAATGACCAAGATGTATGCACTTTCCAAGAAAGGCAGGAAGGAGCTTGGGTTAGCTCAAAGACTACTTTGTGGACTACAACACAACTTTTGGTCTACATGATAACAACATTGAGACATCATCAAAATAGAGTAAGAAGGGATGACTTAGTGTTGTTTTCAAATACTTTATTGTGCTACACTGTACTATATGAACTTGGAGTAGAACTGACACCAGCACAAAGGAATGGAGGAAGGGCCATTTGAAAGCTATAAAATCTACGAGCTAAGCAATGGTACCATGGAATGAGGATTGTGGCAGAGGCGGAGAGGAATAGATCAAAAACAGAAAATAACTTGAGGGTAGTATGTCAAGATGATGGAATAGAAATGAGGCATGAAAAGAAGTATTAATGTATGACTTTCTAATGTCATATTTAGCCCATGAAGCAAGACACCCCTAGCAATCCAAGCAAGGTGTGGTAAGGAAAGACTTGGAATGAAGCATGCCTTAGTAACATATAACTGTAAAGAAACAAGAAGTAGTTCATGCTTGGAGGACAATTGAGAACTATAAGATGGAAATCAAGTATAAATTCTGGGGGAAAGAAGGTACTGCATGGGACTAAGGAAGTGAGTGACAAAGGTGGTATACAGCCAAAGGTCAGAAGAGAGAAAGGGGATGAGTAAATATGAGAAGAGAGAGTCATGTGAGCCACTAAAATGGACTGGCAAGTCACCAAGTCTTATGTGAGATTGGTGGTTTAATGGTGATTCAAAGACAATAATAGAAGAAAACAACAAAGTAAAGGACAAGGGCAAGTTTCTGCCATAGGTAGGAGAGTGGGGCTCTAAAGGGAACAGTTGGGGGCTGAGAAGAAATTTCATCACCTTTTTACCCTGTGTTTCATGACAAGGTAAATACAACCACTGATAATAAATATCCTGGTGGAACGCATGGCTCTGATTAGAACACATTACTAGTTGTCCCTAGTCGTAGCACAGTGTGCCTTAGGTAATATCTTTGTCATTTAAAAATCCTATTATCAAGTTTATTAGCTTCTGTCTTTGCAAAGAATCGTTAGATTTCTGTGACCCCACCCCCTTACAGAAAAGGGGCATATGCACCCAACACTTTATTGCCACATAAATGATAATTTTGCCCAATAGAAATTTGGTAAGTTCTTGATTTCACAATAGCTGTATTTTAAGAAGAAAAAATACACAGGGATCCTTCCTAGAATATTATAAAGACCTCAAGACAACATGCGATGTTTGGAGCTTAGAGGACTCTACGCTCTGAAGCTTGTAATAGTCTTTGAGAAAAGCAGCAAGAAAATAAAGAGAACCCATTGAAACTCTTGCTTTGAAATAATAAATTCAGTCCTAACAGAAGCCTACCATACCAGAGAGAAACAGAAACCCATTTTTAGTAGGAGATAATGAATCCATACGGTTCCTCTTTAATTTGTATCCGATTATTAGAGTTTACAAACACTGATGGAGTTTCAGGATTCAAAAATGCTGGATTAGGGTGAGATGGAGACCTGCTCCTGCAAGAGGACTCAATTGTGGTGCCCAGATCCTCCATGATGGCTCAAGACCAACTGTAAATCCAACTCCAGAGAACCCAACACCCTCTTCTGGCTTCTGTGGGCACTTGCACACACACATGCATGTATCTACAAATAGACACACACCTACACATAATTAAAGATGAAAGAAATATTCTTTTAAATTATTGACTTCAGAGAAACTAGAAATCTGGTTGAGTTTTTTTTTTTATATAGAAACATGGCTATGAGAGGATTGAAGAGCCACCATTGTATAGAACAAGTCCCTGTCATATATGTGCCTACATTAGCTGACCTATATCACATGATCTATTTCAAAGTTCTCTCTGTTGTTACTATCCCCACACATACCTGTATATTCTATGTGGCTGTCAGTCTTGCCATGTGTATGTCCAAATGTTTTGAAGAAAATCTGATTATGTCCTGATTCTTATAAGAAATCCTTCAAGTGGACAACTATAACCTGAAACTGCTCTTTACAGTATTAGTCTAACCTCAAAGGAGAAAAGCAGAACTTTTTGACTGACATATGTCCCATAGTTCACTGGCAGAGCAAGCACCTCTGAAAAATCCCCAGATGAACTTAGAACTTTATACTTCAAAAAAAATTGCATCTTTTGATGGGACCAGAGGTATATGCCTTTAAAATACCGTCTCTGCTTTTAATGGAGACTTGGCTATTAGCCTAGTTTAAAATGTTGCCACGAATCAAGCAGGAAAACCTTTTAAAACCTCTTTCTACCTGGTTTAATGTTAGCTTTTTGTTCAAAGAACAAATAACGTTAGAGTTATTATCCCTTGATCATTCCAGTTTCATTCACAGGACTTGTAAAAAACAAGGGCTAAATGCTGTGACTTCTAAGAGATGTAATTTTGAGTCTAACAAGAATAATTTACTTAATTGAATTATTAATACTTTCAGCATAAATCTAAAATGCTGCTAATAAAATGTCTATTTCTGAGGAACTAACATATACGAACATACATGGATCACAATGATGCAGGAAACAACTATATATATATATATATATATATATTGCCAAATGAAGCCAAAAAGTTCTGTTCTGTCTCTTCCTCAAATGGTACCTAATTTAAAAAAAAGATTTAACAAAATGTACCCTGGGCTTCCCACAAGCTATATCATGTTCAAGCCCATTTCTGCATGTGGTCATCAGAGAGCCTGAATATAGATCATAAAGAGGCATGTGTAACCCAGAGAGCTGGAGATAGGCAGTAGAAACACAGAACAAAAGGGAGAAAAAGTAAAGATTTCTTCTTAAGGTGCTCCTAAATTGCTCCTCTGACCCTTAGGTTATTACTTCCTATATTGCCTCCTTTATTAGGATCTTTAAAGTATATCAGTTGAATTTCATCCTTGGATTTCTTCATCTCTCTATTATTCAGATGAGAGTCGCCCTGTTATAATTATTTACATGTCTGATTCTGCACATCCCCACCACATCTCATGAGAAAGAACTTGAGATTTTTTTATAGCTCCCTCCATTATAAAAGTTGACATGGCAATTAGTAGGTGTTCAATAAATATTTCTTGATTGAATGGATATGTGTGGTTTCTCATGCCTTCAAAGACTTCTAAAGGATAAAAATTGAAGAGTAATGGTTTATGAAGATGTATGATCATGAGCATAAAGTATTTTTTATAGTCTGTCCAAATAGCATACTTATTTTTACAAAGTTATTTCCTTTAAAACAGACTTCAGCAGATGGGAAAAGATTAGAGACCTACATTTTTAAAATGTGTATTTGTACCTACTAACTTCCTTTACTGAAAAACGGTAATTTGGGACATTTTGTTCAACAAGACAAAACCATCTCAGTAGCTGATTAAGGAATCATTAATTTGACTGTGTCTGCTTTTATGGATGTGATATGAATGAGCATCCTCTCCTGTTTGAGTCTTCTCTGAATGTAAATATCTGTTTTTTTTTTCCCTTGCAGAATTTATTCCACAGGCGTTTGGGATGCCCTTATCCCAAGTCATTGCTAATGACCGCGCATATAAGCTAAAACAAGACATGCAGAGGGAGGAGCAAAAGGATACATCTGAGTTTGGGTCTTTCCTCCTCCCATATGGGAATAAAAGACAAAACAAAGAACTCTCAAGCAGTAACTCATCTCTCAGCTCAACCTCAGAAACACCAAATGAGTCCGTATCACCTAATACTCCGGAACCGGCTCCTCGGGTTAGGCGAAGGGTGAGTTGGCCAAGATCTTCTCTGACTCTGAGAAAACTGAAAATTAGTAAGGTTGTCCTTTGAGTCTCTATTAAAGTGAAACCTGGACACATAGTAGATATCTCTTCTACTCAGCAATAACCAGTACTGTGCATGTGGCAGCTAGCATTTCCTCCAACCTTTCCCTCCTAGTTAAATTGGTGCTCAAATATTCTGCACTACTGCCATTGATGCTGGTCTCTTGTTATCTCCTGCCATCTCACTAGACTTCCTACTCAAACAGAAAAGCCCAACCTTCAACCTATGGGCCATGTGCATAACAGAATAGCTATGAACATGCCAAAACACAAATCTGTAAACTTATGTAGAACATTATGAGAATTATTTTGGCCCTTTTGTTTTCTAACTCAGTTGTGTAGCTCTATAGCATGAACTTTATAGATGACATCATACTATCACAATGTCACACATACTATGTATATGTATGTATATATTGCACAAATGGGCTGCAGGTTAGACACCCTTATGCTAGAAGCTGAGTTTTGAGGCCAATATCCAGTGTTTCTGATAATTTTTTTCAATGTCATTCTTAGAATGTGCCTGGATCAGTGAATTAGCCACAGTTGTTCATAATCAATGAGCAATTTAGCTTTTCCTTATCAATGGCACTTGTCATTTCTCAAATAGAGCTGTGTAATCCTGTATGCACTCTCTTTCATATTCATGTGATAGCAATATGATGCCAGTGATGGAGAGGGCACTATGTTCTAGGTCCTGTGTTCTTATGTGTCCAAATCTAGAAACCTACATTTCTCAGGCCATCTGGATGGGAGTCAGCATGGTCACTGCAAAGCAGATCTAAGAATTCCTATGTCCCTTTCTCTAAGCTTTGGGCTAGAAATCTTAGCCAATCCAGCCACAAAATACTGTCCTTGTTAAATATACAACCAAACCTCCATTTATAACTCTCATTTTTTAGCTATCAGCATTCAGGACTTCTTCCAAGGTATTGCAAGACCTAAAGCCCTGTTATTTTTTTTCATGATATTGACTATGATTCAAAGTGGAAAAATGACAAAATTAAGGAATTTTTGTATTTTCCAGATGAATTTGTTCTTCTAAGCCTGTAATTGTCTTAGACAATATCAGTAACACCGAAGCTCTAAATTTGAGCTTTCTGGTTATCTAGGACCTAGGCAGTGGACTTCTTTCTCTGTCCAAGCCCTACCAGGACTCTAATAGCTGACTTCTTAGCACACACTTCATCCAGGATGGATGGCTTTACCCTCCTGCATGCTGGGGTCACAGGCATGTGCCAGCATGCCCAGTTTGAATCTTCCTATGTATAAAGTCTACTTCTCAGAGCTATATTTGAGGATTTGTTTTATTCAAAAGACTTCTATGACTTTACCTCATTCATTGAGTATTCATTTTTTTGTTTCAAAAGTGAAATGGTTAAATCAAACTTTTAATTATATGTTTCCCATATCCTGTCTTCTATTAGGAAAAGTATATGTATTGAAATCATAACTAACAATACTTGTAGAGATTTTGTAGCTTTTTCAAAAGGCATTTAGTCTTTCCTCCGAATACATCAGCAATAAACATCTGTAAACTACATAACAAAAATCTAGCAGCAATATCTTTTGAGAGTAATAGTCCTCCAGGAACATGTACTGGGTAGCCTCTGCAAGCAACTGCTTTTCTTTCTGCTGCCTGTGATCTTCAAATCTGCATATCACTTGCAGGGTGCCATGTCAGTGGATTCCATCACGGATCTGGATGACAACCACTCTCGACTCCTAGAAGCTTTGCAACTCTCCCTGCCTGCTGACGCTCATAATAAAAAAGAAAAGGCCAGAGATAAGAGGCTGAGTCTGAATCTTATTTACAGGCAGGTCCCCAGGCTGGTGGACAGCTGCTGCCAGCATCTGGAAAAATATGGTAAGTAGACTTGTAATCAGCCATCCATGATCCAAGTATCATCCCTCTATGTACCCAATTTCAATTATGTGTTTCTTTGAGCAAGAAGTAGACCAAAGTTCTTTGGGTAAATAAAGTGTACCAATATAAGTGTTGACTTAAGAAACTACTGGGATCAATAGGACTAATAGGTATGAAGCTATTTGGAGTCTTCAGATCTCAAGAATATTCAGAGGAGGCTCTGACCAAGCATCTTAGGAAAGGATCACTTGTGTTGGAATAGAACCCCCTTCAAACAGAACCAAGTCCCTTGGATGTTTTTATACATTGAGGTTCCTTACAACACTTCTTTCGACAAAAGCAAAGGTTTGCTTTTTGGGGAATCCCTACTCTGAATGTCTGTAACTAACTCTTTTTAGCTCAATTTCTTTTAACATGATGACTATCATATGATGAGTAATTCTTTAATTATTTTCTGTAATTTAGATATTTGGCTCATAAAATGCCTTATCTATCACATATCTTCATTTGCTATATATAGATTTACCACACACTTTATGGATTTGGAGGAACTTCCTTAATTGTTTATTTGCTCTATAGATAATATGTTCATCATACTTTTTAGTTTTGTCTTGTAATTTCAAGATAAGGTTTCTCTATGTAGCTCTGGCTGTAGTGAAACTCACTCTGCAGACAAGGCTGGTGTTGAACTCAGAGATCTGCCTGGCTCTGCCTCCTAAGTTCTGGAATTTTATTATAATTTTTAAAGCAAAAAGGTTAAGAAACTGTTGGTCCTATTGATATAGCCATTGTATCCCAGTTACTTAGAAGACTGGGCAGGAAGATTTCAAGTTCAAGGTGAATTCAAGCTAACCTGGGTAACATTGTCAGAGATGCATTTTGATATAGCATAATGTCCTAGGATAAATATCATTCCTACAAGAAGAAAAAACAGGAGAGAAAGTAAGGATAAAACAAACTGTGAACATTGTCATTTTTTTCCTAATTACAAGAACAGAATTTTGTGAAAAAATATTAAATATGCATTTAAATTAATTAATTCAATATAAATAAAAATTACTGGATAATGGAATGACTTAAAAAATAAATGTATTTAAATCTTAGACTTTGTTTTCAACACAGAATGTTTAATGCATAGTTTAAACCTAAAGACAAGGCTTATGCTAATCAATTATCCAAGGTCCTGACTGTATTTCAAGTGTCCATAGTACTTTTATCAGTTTATATCTATGTATGTCTATCATATAATATATCTATGATTCCAGAATAATAGGATACACATTCAAATTGAAATAGATATTAACTTTAATATTCTAAACTAGTGGTTTTCAACCTTCCTAATGCTGTGACCCTTAAACACAGTTCTTCATGCTATGGTGACCCCGTCAAGCATACAATTATTTTCATTGCTACTTCATATCTTTATTTTGCTACTGTGATGAATCATAGTATAAATTGATAATGTATGATATCAGATTTATGACCCCCAAACTTCAAAGATAGTATTTTATAAAGTATTTTAGACGTTATCATTTTTTTTCTTGCTTTCCTTTGACACAGGGTCACATTATGTGAGACAAACAACATCAAAAGCATTTCTGCATTTCTTCCCTAACACTTTATTTGCCTGAATTTTTGAAAAGAGTAGGTAGAGGACATTTGTCACTTTAGTCATTTAAGCGTTTGTCAGAGACCCTTTTTCCAGCCTCTGCAAAAATGGTTCTTGAAAAAGTTTATTGGTTCTATTTGTATTTATGTACTCAGCCCTTCCTCACTTATATATAGCTTCAAATGCCTTCTCAATTCTTTTTTTCCTTTTTTATTGATATTTATTGAGCTCTACATTTTTCTCTGCTCCCATCGCTGCCTCTCCTCTCCCCGTTTTAGCCCTCCCCCAAGGTCCCCATGCTCCCAATTTACTCAGGAGATCCTGTCTTTTTTCTACTTCCCATGCAGATTAGATCTATGTATGTTTCTCTTAGTGTCTACATTGTTGTCTATGTTCTCTGGGATTGTGGTTTGTAGGCTGGCTTTCTTTGCTTTATGTTTAAAAACCACCTATGAGTGAGTACATGTGATAATTGTCTTTCTGTGTCTGGATTACCTCATTCAAAATAATGTTTTCTAGCTCCATCCATTTTCCTGCAAAATTCAAGCTGTCGTTATTTTTTTTCTGCTGTGTTGTACTCCATTGTGTAAATATACCACATTTTCCTTATCCATTCTTTGGTCGAGGAGCATTTAAGTTGTTTCCAGGTTCTGGCTATGACAAACAAAGCTGCTATGAACATAGTTGAGCACATGTCCTTGTGGCACGATTGAGCATCCTTTAGAAGTGGTATTACTGGGTCTTGAGGAAGACTGTTTCCTAATTTTCTGAGAAATCACCACACTGACATCCAAAGGGGTTGTACCAGCTTGCATTCCCACCAACAACGCAAAAGTGTCCCCTTTTCCCCAAAACCTCTCCAGCATAAGTTGCCATCAGTGTTTTTGATTTTGGCCATTCTTACAGGTGTAAGATGGAATCTCAGAGTTGTTTGATTTGCATTTCTCTGATGACTAAGGATGTTGAACATTTCCTTAAGTGTCTTTCAGCCATTTTAGATTCCTCTGTTGAGAGTTCTCTGTTTAGGTCTGTGCTCCATTTTTTATTGGATTATGTATTCTTTTGGTCTCTAATTTCTTGAGTTGTTTGTATATTTTGAAGATCAGCTCTCTGTCTGATGAGGGGTTAGTGAAAATCTTTTCCCATTCTGTAGGCTGTCGTTTTGTCTTGTTGACCATGTCCTTTGCTTTACAGAAGCTTTTCAGTTTCAGGAGGTCCCATTTATTAATTGTTTCTATCAGTGTCTGTGCTGCGAGGATTATATTTAGGAAGTGGTTCCCTGTGCCAATGCATTCAAGTGTATTTCCCACTTTTTCTTCTATAAGGTTCAATGTATCTGGCTTTATGTTGAGGTCTTTGATCCATTTGGACTTGAGTTTTGTGCATGGTGAAAGATATGGGCCTATTTTCACTCTTCTACATGTTGATATCCAGTTATACCAGTACCACTTCTTAAATATGCTTTGTTTTTTTCATTTGATATTTTTTTCTTCTTTATCAAAGATCAGGTGTTTGAAGATGTGTGGATTGATATCCGGATCTTCTATTCGGTTCCATTGATTTTCCTGTCTGTTCTTATGCCAATACCAGGCTGTTTCCAGTTCTGTAGCTCTGTAGTAGAGTTTGAAGTCAAGGATTGTGATGCCTCAAGAAGTTCTTTTATTATACAGATTGTTTTGGCTATCCTGTTTTTGGGTTTTTTTTTTTTGGTTTGGTTGTTTTTTTTTCTTTTCCATATGTTTAAATGTATGTGTATCAGTTACCTGATCTCATAAATCGGATTCCTTTTTCTTGATGATCCTTAGTGGCTAAAAAATTTTCCTGCTGTCAGCATCCAAACATCCAGGGTTTCTTGAACTTTTGAAGATGAGCATTTTCCTGCAAAGACAAGAACAGAACCCTGCCCCAACCCTCATGAGCTTCCCTTACCATCTTTATGGTTTTCACCATTGTGGATGAGCTGTCATTTCTCTTTTTCAAGAGGTTTCTCCTTTTGAAACTGGATCTCTATTAATTTTGATGGTATCCATGGTTTTTCTTTTCCTGTGGAAACAAGAGCAAAACCCCTTCTCCAAAGCAGCACATCTCCTGGCTTCCATTGTGAGGTCAGCACCCTTGAAATAAACTGGTAGATTTAATTCAGAAGACTTTTCTATTACTCAATATGTCTCTGCTGCTGTTGTCCCTTTCTCATCAGCATTAAGAAAATTCAAGGTTAATAAAGCATTACGTAATCTATTTCTGGAGGCATTTTCCATCCCTTTCTGTTTGTTTAACATATCTTTTATAGTTCGATTTGATCTTTCTATGACTACTTGACCTGTAGGACTGTATGGTATATCTGTAACATGCTTAATATTATAATAAGCAAAAAAAGTTTCATTTTCCTAGAGACATAAACTGAACCATTATTTGCCTTTATTTGTGCAGGTATACCCATGATGACCATAACTTCTAATAAATGTGTGATTTCTGAATCAGCCTTTTCTGAGCTTAAAGCAGTTGCCCACTGAAAACCTGAATAAGTGTCAATGGTGTGGTGTACATATTTTAATTTTCCAAATTTAGCAAAGTGGAACACATCCATCTGCCAGATTTCATTCTTTTGAGTGCCCTTTGGGTTAGTCACTGCAGGTAGCGGTGTTTGGTTATAGATAGAGCAAGTAGGGTATCTCTTTATAATCTCCTTAGCATGTTTCCTTGTAATAGAAAATTTTTCCTTAAACCTTTGCATTGCAAGAAGTGGGGCCCCTTGTTTATCCCTTCTGTCTGGCTAGCTTAGTCCCCAAAATAACCACACAGAAACTGTATTCATTAAAACACTGCTTGGCCATTAGCTCTAACTTCTTATTGGCTAACTCTTACATCTTAATTTATCCCATTTCTATTAATCTGTGCATTGCCACATGACTGTGGCTTACCCACAAGATTCTAACCAGTGTCTGTCTCAGGCAGGAGATCCATGGCATCTCTCACTCTGCTCTTCTTCCCAGCATTCAGTTATATCTTCTCCACCTACCTAAGTTCTGCCCTATCAGGCTCAAAGCACTTTCTTTATTCATTAACCAGTTAAAGCAAGACATGAACAGAAGAACCTCCTACACCATCTTTGCGATTGACATGATGGTTTTTATGAAATTCTGAGGCCTGCAACATGCTTCCAATAAATAATTGATCAATTTATGCACTGCCTTGTGCTAGAGGACCTGGCAGACACATATGGGATTGGATGTGTGTTGTGTATATAGGACAAAACCTATTCCTGATTATGTCTTGATAAATAATGAAGACAATTCTGTATCATCTGGTATAAATTTAGTGGTTTCAATATGCAAAATAACTCTTTCTGCATATTGTGAACCAGTACCTATATTAAGAAGTTCTTTAAAATCCCTTAGCACCATGAGAATATCACATAACTCTGCGTTCTGGACAGAATTATAAGGGCTTTGTTCCACCTTACTTAATTCTTCTGATTTGTATCCTGCCTTCCCTGATCATTTGCATCAGTATAAAAGGTATGGGCTCAAGTTATTCAAGCATCACATACAATTCAGGGAAGAATTCAAGAAGTTCTCTTTATAAGATTAAGTCTATCACTTTTAGGATAATTGCTTTTAATTTCTCCAAAAAAAATTAGCACAAGATCTTTGCCATGGTTCATTGTATTCCCATAACTTTTTTATTTCATCAGTAGTGAAAGGCACTATAATCTCTGCTGGGCCTATACCTGCTAATTGATGAAGTCTCAATTTACCTTTTATAATTAATTCAGAGACTTTTTCCCCATAAGTTTTTAATTTTTTACTTTGTTTATATGGTAAAAAGATCCATTCTAAGATAATATTGTCCCTCTGCATTAAAATTTCTGTAGGAGAAATTCTGGAATGCAACATGACTAGAATGCAATTAAGATTTAGATTCACCCTATCCACATGTGCCTCCTGTAATTTCTCCTCAACAATTGTCAATTCCTTTTCCACTTCTGGGACTATTCAAGTCTTTATCAGCATCTATGTTTTTTTAATGAATATCTATTTCAAATTTGATAAAGAGCAAAAGTTCCTTTACAAATCAAGTTTAAAAATTATTTAGAATATTGAAAAAGTTATAATATTATTCCTAGGAATTCCTTGTCTACATCCCTTCTCAGATGTCCTATTCTACCACAATTAAAATATTTGGCATTTTGATGTCTTCTCATTCCTTTGGAAATTGCTTCTCCTAACCAAGATTCAGTATTATAGTCAAATGTCTCAATGTTCATTGTATGCAGGATCCATTCATCTGTAGGTGTTGATCTAATCTTTAAAGGCCAAGTATCTTTTTGCATTCTAAGTTGGCATTTTCAAAAGCCAGAGATTCAATAAGTACTTGTCTAGCATCTGGGCCTGTTACTCCTATTTTTACAGCCTTATTTAATCTTTGTTAAAAGTCAATAAAGGGTTCTCTCTGGTCCTGTTTAACCCTGGTATATTATTCAATTATTTTTCCTAGTTCTTGAATCCTGTCCCAAGCATTTGTGGCATAAGGACAAGATTTGTTCATTGTGAAAAGCTTGAACCTGTGGGTCAGCATAAGGGCCTTTACCAAGAATTTGATCTTGGGAAGTCTCAAGACCTTCTGCTTTTCCCTATTGTTCCAAAATTTTTGCCTCTTCTCTGAAATAAATTTTAAACATTAATTAAGGTCTCTCATCCAGGTCTCCTGAAACAAACTGAATCCAGTCATGTGGCATTGCTTTAATGCTAGAAGACCATGACTTCATCATCTCCTTTATAAATGCAGAATGCAAGCCATAAGTTACAATAGCTTGCTTAATTACTTTTAGATCATTCATTCCTATAGGTATCTATCTACCTTCTTTGGATCCTTTGGGGCCTTTTGAAGTTGATCCTTTGTCAGAGTAGATTACAGGGTAGGAAGCTAAAACCCTGGGTAAATCATCTTTGACAGCTACTGGTGATGTTGAATCCTGTCTTTGTGCCTTCTTTCACTGTTCATCAGCTCCAATAATTTCCTCAATTATTTCAAATCTTTTTATTATTGTCTTTTGTAATGCCTGAATCTCCTGGCCTGTATATATTTCTAGTGATTTCATTGAGGCACCTAGCCTCTGGTCCTCATTCTGCACATGCAATTCCAAGGTCTGAAGTTTCTCCTTTAAAGATAACATCTCATCCTTGGACATTACATGAATAGCATGCAGATTACCATCCTGGAGAGATAGTCTATCTGCTAACTTATAACTTTTTGACAAATTTTGATTGTCAAATTCAACATTATAAATTCTTTCAAATAACTTCTTATTATCCTTAGATATGGATTCAATTTTATCTATCAAATTAATGTTATCTTTTTAATAGTATTATTTTTTTCAGGCAACTTTTAATTTTTGATGGTATTAATCCTGTCAACTAGCAGTTCATTATTAGTCTGTAAAGATTGTATCATTCCTAAAAGTGCCATATTCTTTCTTAATCATAGAATATGGAGAAGAAAACTGAGTCTCAATACCCAATAAATTGAAATATCACCATAACCATATAAGCCTCACATAATACAACCCATAGTATTAGCAAAATTTACTAAAAGTTGCAATAGTGTGAAGTCTGCCATATTGATTTATTAATTACCTGTTATGTGATATGGTAAACTGTAATCTTTATTGTCCAGCAGATGTCGTGGTTGCAGAGTTGCGACTAGAAGCAATGCAACTGGTGGCGACAGGAATGGTCCTGGACTGCTTTAGTTTCCAAGCCACTTTAGTTTTCTGCCTTGGTACTGGTTAAATACTGAGAAATATGCTTTGTTTGACAAATTAAAAGCAATTAAATCAATTAAATACACGGAGCAAAAAAATCAGAACTCATGGGTAGGGAGCAGAAACCAGAAGCTGCAGAAGTCACCATGCGGCAAGGAATAGACCCAGGGAATGTAGCAGTCATGCTTGTGCTTGGGAAATTTCCACTTGCCACATGCAGTAAACTCCACTGTGGCAGGGATTCTACAAAAGAAAATGCTTAAGTAAAAGCAAGCAAAGTGGGCAGGGTTGGGAGACTGAGTGCCTGGGCCGTGGCCTGGCTAGGTCTTTAGACCATCCACCCAGTAGTCCCGAGTCTGAATCCACATGGGTGCCAAATGAAGAAGGATAATTAAAAGAAATCCCACACTAGCTCAGAATTGAGAAATAGATATTTATTTAGGGCTAGACTCACAAGTCAGAATCCTCTGAATGGAGATCAGAAACCGAATCCCGTTGCCAGAAAATGAGAGCGGACACATGTTCTACATCAGTTTATGTAGTATAAGAGGCCACACCCCAGTGGACGGGTAACCACTGTTAAAGACCAATTTTTCAAAGACTTATTTTTTTTAATTTTATGCCTGTCTGTGGGTCTAAGGTTATTCTTGTACACTACATGCATGAAGCTATCTTCATAGACCAGAAAAGGTTGTTGATTTTCCTAAAAGTGAAGTTCAAGGATTTGCAAGCTGACATATGGGTGCTTGGATACAAACCAGGGTCCTGTGGAAGAACAGCAAGTGCTTTTAACAACTGAGCCATTTCTTCACCTTCAATTTTCCAACAAGGAATAATATATTATAACTTTTTAAATCTTCTAAATAATTTTAAAACATGATTTGTATAGGAACTTTTGCTCTTTATCAAATTTGAAATAGATATGTTTATTTTTCTGATCATAAAGAAAATATACTTCTTAAGGAAAAAATATATATAATGTAGAACAATTAAACACTGGATAAGAAACAATCACAGCTGAGTGGTAGTGGTGCACACCTTTAATCCCAGTACTTGAGAGGCAGCAGTAGGCAGATCTCTGTGAATTTGAGGCCAACCAGGTTTACAGAGTGAGTTCCAGGACAGCCAAGGCTATACAGTGAAACTCTGTGTCAAAAAAGAAACAATCACTTTAAATTTCTGTTTATTTCTACTTAGCATTTAAAACTCCCTAAAAATATACATATATCACTTATTTGAAATGATAATACATGCAGACACACACACATATATATACATACATACATGCATCCATATATGAAGAGAATGTCACTGCTCTAAATGGATGGTAGGTCACAGAATTTTCATGTTTATAAAAATGTTTTATAAATATCATTTAAAAAGGATGCCAAGTAGTCTGTCATGTGAGTGGACCCCAGTTAGCTCCAAATAAACAACTTTTTCTGTTATAAATGGTCCTACTCTGACCTCCTTTGTGTACATGCCTTTGTTAACATTTTTGATCATCTTAGAATCGTGTCATAGGTATAGAATTATAGGGCCAAGCCTATAAAAACAATCTCTCTGACCTATAACATCAGTAGTCACACCAGGAAAAAATATCTCATCCCCAAACATTTAATGTCAAATAATTGTGAAGTTGAAAGGGTCAATTATGTACCTGAGGAAGGTGAATGATATAGTATATGAAAGAGCAACCGAATACTGTGAAGTCACTGCTGTTCTGCATGCTCAGTACAAGCATTCTGCACTGTTTCTACGTTGATTTCACTCAGAGTCTCAAGCATTAAAAAAAAAAAAACAGCCTGCTGATTTTGTTTGCTTATTTACAGGCCTCCAGACAGTGGGGATATTTCGAGTTGGAAGTTCAAAAAAGAGAGTGAGACAAGTAAGTGAAAATGAAGGTTATGTTGTCTGTTTCCCTTGACATTTCATTGAATTACTAGAGGGAAAATTCAAGTTTATGTAAATCCCCTTTGACTATATTTTCCCAACCATCCGATTATAGTATAATTAAATCCCAGGAAATGAAAAACAACTCAGAAGGTTAGAAAAGTAGAGTTGGGGTGAAAAGATTGAAAGAATGGATCTGGACATGTCCATTCTATGCTCCACTGAAAGAAACTATTTGATAAAGATATCACTGAAGTTGGAAAAGTGGAAGATTCAGAAAAAATGCTTAATCAGCAAGTGATAGAAAATAGAACATAATTTCACTGAGGCCAGTTTTATGCAAATGTAAAATGCCATAACACCCTCATCTAATCTGGTGCTACATTTATTTACTTTTGCAGAAATAAATGCTTTATAAGATCTTATGGAACCATTGGTTCCTGGTTAATTTTTCATGATCAACTGTAATTCTTGATTTTGTGTGTGTGTGTGTGTGTGTGTGTGTGTGTGTGTGTGTGTGTGCCAACCTTGCGCTACATGCTTCTGGCAGAAATTTGATATTAGATTGCCAAGGTAGTTTCCTTTGATCAGATAGGTTGTGATGGCTTCATAAAAGGCAAACCATCCTTTAACAAACAGAACCCATTTGATAGCAAAAGAAGGTTGCAATGTCATTTTTCTCCTATTGATTGAAACAGAGGGAAATAAGAAACTCTACAATCTAGAAGTTAATCCAGGTAAAAATTTTAGTTGAAGTTAAAGAATTATTTATTTATATGTTGAAGTAAATACCCTATCATGTATGTTTTTCATTGTTAAAATAAAAAAAATCAAAGTTGTTTTTTTTTTGTCCTGATTGGTTTGTTTGTATTCTCAATAATCACACAAAATGAGTGAACAGAATTTAACAATTCACCATGACACCTGTAAAATGTAAACTATCTTCTAGGCTTCACACCTATATAAAATTAAGGGATATCTTTATTAATAATATCTTATTGACTCAGCCCTCCAGCTGTAGTCCCCTTCACCGCTTTCTTTTCAGGCTTATAGAAATTCAGAAATTTAATTCATTATCTTGTGATTAACAAGCTCCTTTAGTGGTCCACCTCTGTCTGTGTGTGTGTGTCTTTTGCATATGTGTTTTAAGTCATCTGCGTGTGCTCAGGAAAGAATCATGGTGCGTCTGAACTAGCTTGATTGCAGTAGTGCCATGGGTGAACTCCTCATTTTGGCTGTCTTGTAAATGCTGATGGAAAATTGTCTGAAATCAGTGAGCAATTGAGGACAGTGATTGGTATTTTCATCAAGTGGACAGATGATGAGTTCCAGCAATTATCCTTTGACATTTTGGGGATCCATAAAAAAGGGAGATATCTTTGCATAGGGATTTACTTAAGGATTACTCACTCAATAAGATGTAATTAGTGGTAACTTAGAACTAGATTTGAGTATGAAATATGCTTTAACTTACTCACTATTTTATGTTTTTATGTAACTTTTACATACCCTGCACTTTTTCTTTAGAAAGTAAGAGCTAGGACTGGGACAATGGCTCTTGGTGTGTAAGCATGAATTCCGGTCCCCAGCACCCACATAAAAAGCCTGGCATGATGACATACCTATGAAGTCAGTACTAGGGGCGAAGGAAAGCAAGCAGCGATAGAAAAATCCCTGAAGTTTGATGGCCTCCAGCCTAACCAACAAATGGAAACTCTAGGTTCAGTTCAGTGAGTGATCTTAACCTCAGGGGCATGAAAAGTCCAGTAATAAAGAAAAACACCCAACATTATTCCCTGGCCTCTACAGGTGTGTACCTGCACACACATGTTCACATGCATTCTGTTTCCTTTTTTCCCTTCTTGTGATCTGTGCAGACTTAATACCAGATGTTGTCCTTCAAAAACATTTTGGGGGGAGATCAGTAAACACAGAGGTTAGATGATTCTAAGGTATCGTTGACTATATGAAACTTCTTGTCAAATTAACCCTCTGAATCTTATGCAACTGATACTTGAACCGTTGATTTTCCAGCTGCGTGAGGAATTTGACCGTGGGATTGATGTCTGTCTGGAAGAGGAGCACAGTGTTCATGATGTGGCAGCCTTATTGAAGGAGTTCCTTAGGGACATGCCTGACCCCCTTCTCACCAGGGAGCTCTACACAGCATTCATCAACCCTCTCTGTACGTAATAAAGCCAGATTTTCGGGAAAGCATCCCTGGAATAGCAGGATGTCCAGCACACTCATGAAAATCTTGTGCGTGTGTTTCCCGATAACTGCTTTTGCCTTTATTGGTCTCTAATGAATGGGCTATTTGGGGGATTTTCTGAGATATACCCTGGGGAAACTAGCAAGAAAAAAGCTGGGCTAAAATAAATGGGAAAAGCCAAGAATTTCAGATGTTTTCAAATGACCCCAGGAAAGTAGAAAGTGCTATAAGTTGATGCTTTGAAGTGCTGGAAAGAACTTGCATTGAGTCTGTGCCTAAAAATTAATCCTGGCATCTGGTATCAGGAAGGAAGAACCAAAAACCCAGAGTAAGAAAGTGGGCAACAGTATTTTCAGTGGAAGTCAAATGACATAGCCCAGTACCAGTACTTTCAAAGGAGCTGTGTCTGACTGTGCACAGACCCAGAAAAGATCAGGGAAGAGGAAAGAAGAAAATGTCAGAGATGTATCAGTCTGCACACGTTTCTTCCTACAAAGCACCAGTTCCATTGGGATTGTGGCTAAGAAAGAAGACAGTGTGTTTGTCACATGCCTTAGGTATTGCCAAAAAAAAACCCAAAACCATACCTTGTATATTGTTCAAGAAGAAAGGCCCTTAAACACATTATAAAAGATTTCATACCATTCACCAATTCCCAGCCACTGTTAGTGGATATTTACCAGTGTGCACTAAAACCCATTAAGTCGGAGTAATAAAATAAGAGAATGGAGGCTGATGGAAATAAGGGAAATGGGTTATCTTTCCTATGATTTCTCTTGCAGTCCAACTGTTCTCTAGATGTTTCATAGATATTTGTGGCTAAGCTGCTGAAGTAATGGGAAAATGGTGGAAGTCACGAAGTAGAGATGGCTTGGGTAACTTCTTTCTTAAAGTAGTGGAGAAGAAACCCAACCTCTGTGCCCAAACAGTGTCAGCTCTGCCAGTCTTACTCAGAGTACCTCTCTCTGCCATATGTAGTGTTGGAGCCAAAGGAACAACTGGGCACCTTGCAACTCCTCGTTTACCTTCTACCTCCCTGCAACTGCGACACCCTCCACTGCCTCCTACAGTTCCTCTCCATTGTGGCCAGCCACGCCGATGACAGTGTCAACAACGAGGTATGCTGCCATAACTAGAGTGACTTCTTTTCTATTGTTTGTCTGTTGTTCTAGCTGGTAAAGCACAAACTATCAATGTGATCACACATTTCGCTGGAAATCTTAATGACTCGCCATCTGCATTAGTTGTTCATCTCATAACATCATCGATATACCTGACGAAAGCAACTTAAGGAAGGAGGAGTTTGTTTGTCATGAGAAACAAGTCATGGTGCCAGGAACAAGCACCAAGTTGTCACATTGTGTCTATAGTGAGACAGAGGGGAGAGAGGACTGCTGATAGCCAGCTTACTTTTTCCATTTCATTCAGTGGTGACCCCAGGCCAGGGGATGACATCACCCACATTTAGAATGGGTCTTCCCACCTCCAGCTAGTGTAGATTACACATCACTGACATGCTGAGAGATTTGTTTTCCTAGTCATTATAAATCCAATCACAATTTCTCTGACGTAGATGTTTATGTAATAGTTGTATCTCTTGGAGGCTCGGTTTCTGAAAACATGAAAACTGTTGATCTTCTTGATATTTTCAATGACACCTCAAAATGAAACTCCTATTTTCCAAAAAGACGGTTTGCTCAAGACTAAACTTCCATTTGGGAGGGGAAGATAAGACAGTTGGCTACAGCAGAGTTTGAAAAGGTGTAAAAATAGAGTGCAGAGTGAGCGAAGGATGCCATTGTTGTAACTGGCCAAATCTCTTGTGCTGACTTGGAAAGCAAATATCACAGCTCCTCTTATCTCATTGGCTTCAGTGTAGAAAGTTCCTTTCACTCCTTAAATCACTTCTTCAAAACAGGCATTTGCTGAATTTGCTGCTTTTAAGTAGAGTATGGAGGGGACTGGAAGTTTTGGTCTTTGCTGTTATATAGCAATGATACTGAAACTGAAGATCAACTGTTAAAGGCACATTTGCTAAAGTTCTATAGACTGTTTAGGTATATTCTAGTTGAAACTGGTCCCAATTCAGGGCTAGTATTATCCTTCCTCCCACATGAGATTTGGAGCTATGGTTCTCTTCAGTCATACTCATTCTTTCAAATATTTAAGAGTTTCATCATTGGTCAAAAGACATAGCCTGCTAGCTGGTACCCTATTAAATATTCAGTCTCACAAGGGACCCCATTTTCTTTGATCTCACACAGCCGTTCTTCTCTCTGATGTTGGTTTTCCCAAGAGGCCTCAGAGCCATTAATAGGTTAGTATGTACTTTAAATCAACGAAAGGGAGCCAGAGGTGTTCCAATCTTACTTAACCACATATGCTGCTATTTAAATTATTAAGCAGAGCTCAGCTATATGATGGACTTCTGTGCTTGTCAGATTTAGTTCCCACAGGGCATGGACATATGTAATTCCTTTTTAAGTAGTTCAGAAAAGCAATTCTGCATTTCTCCTCCTCCTTCCCACCAGGAGTGTGAGAACGGAACTTGAACTTTCCCAAGGTAGCCATTTTTCTCTGTAGGAGTTATAATTAGTTACCCCCCCCCAGCTTCAGGTTTCATCATATGGTACTGACACCTTACTTCAGCTCTTCCACTGGTATACTATAATTCTCATAATTGTTGCATAGTTACATTATCCGTCTGGGTGTCAGCCTTTATGGACTACAGAGATAATGGAAGCTGTAGAGCCTTGTGGCTACGTGAAAACAGAGCCCTGATTGAAAGGTATGCCAATTGCCTTTCTGGTGTTTGCTAAGTACTGTTTGAGAAGGAGAAAGTTGAGTCTTGGGTGATTAAGAAGGCACTGAGGAAAGCAAAAAGTCCAGTCCAACTTGATACCATATTACCTTTGGGGAAAAATTTCCAGACACCAAGTCTTCAGTTCAAAGCTCAACAAGCCTCATTACTCATGCTCCAAAGAAGACAATATTCCTAGATGAAAATGCAGATTTATCTTAGCCTGCCAGGATCCTAGCTACCATTTTTGACTCTATCATGTGTTGGTTTTGTGCCATAGTACCTAATCCTTTGAATAGGCAAGGCAAATGTTATTGTGCCCACTTTTCATGGAATGAAACTGAAAGACAGTGCTTAGGTAACTTAGCCATGTCCCCTAGGGAACTTCTACTTATGACAATATAACTGGCAAGTTTGTAGAGTTTACAACTCTGGAGAGGCACTGTATACCCTCTCGTCACTGTAGATTTGTAAAGTCATTAGTAGAGTAACCCTGAAGGAACAGTAAAAAGCTCTTGCAGAAGGGTCCTTTTCATCAATGCATATGTATCACCATACTGGTTAGTTATCATATGGATTCTGCAACTAGAGAATATGCAGCTGTCCTTCATACTACAGCCAGTCTAAATTACTCAGTTAAAACAGTAGGGAAAATGGGAGGACAACATCACTTCCTTGTACATGTTAGAAGCAACTATAAGCAAGCAGCCATGTTTGACTTAAGGCTATAGAGCAGAGAGTACTGAGGGGGTGGCAGGAAACTGGGCCATGTTCATAGAATACTGAAAGTGTCTGCAGGTAGAATCTCTATCCTGCTAAGATATGAACTTTGGGAGCACAGAGAAAAAGATTATATAATCTATGGTGTAGATTAATTTCACATACAGAGAGAGAGGGAGATAGATAGATAGATAGATAGATAGATAGATAGGAAGAAAGAAAAAAGAAAGAATGAATGAACGAACGAAAGAAAGAAAGAATTGAGAATTATTATGAAGTTTTTGTATCAATGACAGTAGAGAAAACAGGAATCTAGAGGCGGAGGAAATGAAGACAAAAGGCAAACAGACATTCATAGAAGAAGGGATAGACATGAGCTAGAAGATCTGCAAATAGCACCATGGAGAATATCAAAACAAAGCCTTGTAGGAGGTTGAGTAGACGGACTACATAAACATGGCATAGAACTAGGGGTTAGCTAAACTCCTCTAATAGAAGCTAAGGGTCTTTGCTTAAAATATTTTAGTAGGATGAAGGAACATAGAATGGGCAGAAGAATAGAGAAAGGCAAAATACTACATTAGAAATTATGGACAAATAACAGAGCATTTCTCCAGTTCTCCTATCTATTGTTAGGCCATCACTTCCTTAAGGATTGCCGCGTGGAAGAAAACTGACTCAGATTAGAGAATAATAATAATAATAAGCCTGGAGGCTCACAAAGCTTTGCCAGAGCCTTGTCTATGTGAAAGATGCTGAGAAAGGCCTATATTTCCTCATCTGCAAAGTAAAAGCATAATGTCCTTCCTGATATGTGCTAAAAACTCAGTGCACCCTTCATTAGTAAGATCATGAAGATAGATCTAAAAGGTATATGCATCCATTTGAGGAGGTGCTTGTTTCTAGGGCATGGTCTACCTTACCTTAGCTCTAGAGCTTCAGGAGGATCCTGCCTCCCTTCCCTCAGCCTCCTCCAGTCTTTATTTAGAGCCATTTTCCTATCTCTGCTTGCTCTTATAAGGTCTGCCAACCAAGAGTGAACAGGAGGAGGTACACCCGTATGATGGATGTACAAAGAGGTTGGCACCAACACAGCTGTATGACTTTACTTCCTATCGCTTCACCTCCTCCTGGCTCTAGGCCTTACCGCCCCACTATGTATAAAATAATGACCATGAGAGCAACTGCTTTCCACATAAGCTTTTCTGGAGAAAGAACTCTAAAAGTCTATGGAAAGCCCCTAGTTAATGTCTGGAAACACTGGACTTTTAACACATGCTATTTATACAGTGCTTTGAAATTATCTGAGAGGCTTACTTAGTGAAGAGAGAAGACTTCCTGGAATTGACTGGCTAACTAAATCATGCAGTCATTGCCAGTTTTGAGTGTCCCTAGCACCTAGACAGGCCATATATACTTAACTAACTAACTAACTAACAAACTAACTAACTAATGGCCTATGTGTATATATTAAAACATGGGGAAGCAATGGTGGGAGATGTCCAGGAACAAGATTTCTTCCAAACTGAACAAGTAGCAAACCAAAACATAAAATGGGAACAAAGCAGAGCAGCTTGGGCCGCAGCTGGAATCCATGTGCGATCTCACAGACGGATAGGATTGCATTCCCAGAATAGCAACCAGAGAAGGAGAGAGCGGAAACAGAGCTCTGGATTGTCCTTGTACTAAACATTCTTTTAAGTAAAAACAAAATCTTCAGTTTCTTCATGCTTAAAAAAGGGAGAAAACTCCAATTTTACTTTAAAGGGGGTTGGGGAAGCTTTCCAGATGCCTTCAAGTTCTGAATGGAGGAATTGGAAAAGGACCCATATTTTATTTTCCCCGTAACCACAAATTTCCAGGAAGAGGATTGAAAATAGAATGAAAACTTTTGGAGCTTCGTGTCAACAAAATAAGACAAAGACCAAATAACTAAAGGTCCTGCAGAAAACGCACTGTCTCCTATTTGGAAAGTTTACCACATGGAATAATACTTTCCCCTGGTGTTGACTTGTTTATCTGAAAACAGCCTCATCCTTTAGCAACAAAAAAGAAACCCTAGTTCTACAGCAAGCTTGCAGGGCAAGTCTACCATCAGCTCAGAGGTTCACACGGTAAAGGGGAGACTAGAGGGAGTCAACTAGGCTATTCTGTGAGGATTCCTGAATCCTACACTAGGCAGCCACATACTGTCTCAAAGATGGTGTGGATCATCCTGGGGATGGGGGTGCATTTTTATCCTGACAGTCCTCAGCATTCTCAGCTAATGCTAGCATGAGGAATCAAAGTTCACACAGACCAGTAGCTCTCACTGTGGGAAATGTTGCCCTACAAGGTCCACAGAGCCCTGTGTGGACACATCTATGGTTGGCACAACTGGGTGTGGAGGGATACTACTAGAAATTAGTGATGTAAGGCCACTTACTATCCTACTCTGCATAGGAGAGTCGCTGCAGCAAGGAATAGTCGGCCACAAATTTCACCACTGCCATGGTAAACACTAGTTTAGAAATATTCAGCCAATCTTTCTTTCCTGTGTGAAGAAGGCAAGTAAAAGGATTACCAAGCTTTTAAACATGCTCATATTCCTTATTATAACAATTTAAATTGGAGAAATGACTCCCAAAACAATGCTCAGCCAATCACATAAAATGCCTTTATGTAGCTATTTCTGTACATTATTTATAGCAAGAGAAGAGAGAAAATGACACAAATGCGTGTCATTTGGCTGTGCTTAAAGCAAATCATTATCAGTTTATGCAACGGTTACTAATGGCCAAGAAAAAGTGATGAATTGTTTGAAATTGGGAGATGAATGCAACGTGTTGGTAAGAGACAACAAGCAAGTTACAAAATAGCTTAAGGAGTGAGACTCTAGCTTTCAGGGAAAAAAAAACTGTACCACGCGTCTCTGTGCAAATAGGCCCTTAAGAAAGCATTTGGACAATTGGATCTGGGGAGTGATAGATGAAAGCTGTTTCGTTTTTACATGCTTGTCCATGCTTTCTATTCATTAAAATATTGAACATGTGTGTGTGTTTCTTTTTTAATATTTTCACCTAAAGAATACTTCGCTGCCTTCATTCTGTGCTTCCTGATAGTGCCAAGCCCAGACCACTCTGTGTCTTTCTTCTTTATCCCTGTTTGTGAGAGTGTTTGAAGATGCATCTGCACTCACTGTTCTCACTGCTTGCTGAAACCCTGCAAAGGCTCTGATCTAGATCATCAGACCACCCTCAAATCCAACCCAGAGGGGCATGTAGAATGCCATGGTGAACATCTGTCACAGGAGATCACACACTTGAAACAACCCTAGCATTCCTAGCATTCCTTCCCAGCACATGTTCCTCTTCTTCTCCAAATATCTGGCCCCTTCTTGGTCTGTTTTATCAGCTGTTCCTTAAGGGTGTTCAACCCACCTCAACCCTTTATATTCCTTGTCTATTCCTAATCGGTTTCTCTTACTGTTATTTAAACATGCAATCCTCACCCGCAGCATGATGCCCTCATTCTCGCCATTGACAATCTACATGACAATTGGAACACTATGCTTTACCCCCTATTCTGTTATAGTTCAGAAGCTAGCTGCTAAAACCTAGACTGTGTACGCTTCCCATGTGTTGGCACGCCACTGCTGTTTCTGGGGCCATAGAGTGCTCTTTCTAACAGGCAAATCATTCCATTTCCATACAAAATCCTCTTGTTCAGATGCCCTAAATATATTCCACATGTTTTTGTGTGCTCCACTGTGAAAATGGTCCTGACCAAAGATACTCTGCTTTGCACCAGAAATAACATTTTCTTTCTTTCCAGATTGTATGGTCAATATTGCTACCTCCAAATTCTAGGGTCTCTGGAATGGATAAGGTCCATTATTTGTACTCACGACCTGAGAATGGGAAGTGTATTTCCTTCCTAGAATGTGAGCCCTCTGAAATAAGGATTGTGCTCTAATGATTATCATTGGAAGTGTTAAAAATAATTTTGACCCATGAAAAATATCAAGTAGCAATATGCTGAGTGGATGGATCAGTGGAGATGTTATGGATTGATGTGTGAACAGCCACATTGATATATGTATTGCTGAGGGTAAATTTTTGAAGTACAAATTGTCTGAAAATGTTGAATAGTAAGAGTTTGGGAATAAACACTTCAAAATGCAACATTTTATTCAATGTGCTAATGAGATGACCATTGAATTTTGATCTTCTACACAAAATATGAAGCAAAAACTTATTACCACATCCTCCTTGATTCTGATAAAGGTGATACTTTCCATGAAAGGAAACATTACTAATGAAAATATTTCATGGCTTATTGAACCTCCCAGCATTTAAAAAAGCAACTTAAGAATAGTCCTTGTGTTTTCTTCTCCCATAGATCACTGGGAACAAAATGACATCTCTGAACTTGGCCACCATATTTGGGCCCAACCTGCTCCACAAACAGAAGTCATCAGACAAAGAATATTCCGTGCAGAGCTCAGCCAGAGCTGAAGAGAGCACAGCCATCATCGCAGTGGTACAGAAGATGATTGAAAACTATGAAACCCTGTTCATGGTAAGTGGCCCTTCAGCACTGAGACATCTCGATGATTTTCTTATTGGTTGCCTCTGCTGATATAATGAAACTCAGGTTATCCACTTTCTGGTTTGCTGTGCTGGTCATAAGTGAACTCACTGGAAGCCAGGCAATTTTGTTCAAAATACTCTGGTGTCATGTTTTAGTATATCAGAAGTATAAATTTTATTTTGTTAATAATAGTAATAATCACACATAATTAATTAAATAATTACATGTTAAGATTTAGTTACCTATGGAGCAGGAGTTCTTGTTCAAAATATTAATTAAAACACCTCTTTGGAATCCTGCAATCTTAGTAAATTCACATGTTCATAACCAACAATGGTGGCATGATTTCTCCAAGGTCAGTCTATACTTTGCACCTCCTGTATGAAATTTCACCTTTCTGCCCTATGCCCTTCCCACGTCATTTCCCATGCCATTTATCTATCCCCTGAAGCCCATGACCATTCTATTTATGTTTATCTTGCTCAGCCTTGTGTTGTAGTCATGTACGGCCATTTCCTTTAGTAGATTATAAATGCATTTAAAGCAAGGACTGTGTCCTTGGTATTGCTTTATCGTATCCTCTGTACACTTCTGGAAGGTCCTTCATTTGTTAGGCGTCCAGTAAATATTTTTTGATTTGTATTGAATTACCAGTTCCTGTTTTCGTTCATAAAACTGCATTGCTTGCTCAAACTTCCCTTGAAACAGAACAAATGCCAATTTTCTTCTATTTCTCTTTTCTACTCGGATTGCACATCATTTTTTACAGAAATGCTCTCCATGATTCTTTTGATATTTCTCTTATCATTTGCAAATGCAATAAAGCCTGCATATTACACTGGGGCCTTCTGTGGCTACTTCAACCTAGAATACTAGCTAGCTACCTCTTCTGAATCTCCTTCAGAGTTTATCTATACTTATCAAATTCTTCGTAGTAGATTTATTGTCATGCTTGTTCTATACTCATTTATTTTGGATATTCAAATGTCAATGATTTGGAATAACTTCTCCATTTATCTTACCTATTTGATTGTGATCAAGTAATTCAATATCCCATAAGCATTAATTTGACCCATGTAAAATGAAAAAAATCTAATTCTTAAAATTACGATCAGAATAATTTGCTATGAGTATGAGTTATACAGACCAGAAATATCTGTCCAATTGCTAATTAATAATTATATTAGCTTGGCAACATGGGCTGCCTTGAATTTCAGTATTTTAACACCAGACACATAGGTATCATATTTATCAGACATTTGGTAGACTGCCTCACAGGTGATGACTTTAGAACCTCAAATACTTGTACTAGAAGATGCTATCCCTGAGCTTTTACTGTATACTGAAAAGGTGTGTCCATCATATGCACTGAATTCTATGGCCAGAACTTACCCACAGATCATATTTAACTGAAAGGGAGTGTTTTTGTCCCACTTGGTCCTACAGTCATTTGGTCCCAAAGAAATATACAGAGGTCTACGTTAATTATAAAATGGTTGGCCTATTAACTAAGGCTTTTTATTAACTCTTATAACTTATATCAGCCCATAATAGTTGTCTGTGTTAACCACTTGGCTTGGTACCTTTTTTGGTGAGGCAGTCACATGTTGCTTGCTTTATGTCTGGCTTCCTCTGTGTCTGGGTGACGACTGCAGACTGACTCTTTCTTCTTCCCAGAATTCTCCTGTTCTCACCCCACCTATACTTCCTGCCTGGCTACTGGCCAATCAGTGTTATATTAAAATACAATTGACAGGGTACAGACCATTGTCCCACAGCACTTGCCCCCCATTTAAAAAAAAAAACAACAAGAACTCTGAATTGAATCTCCTTTTAGTTTTTCTCCTGACTATTATCCATAACAACTTGTAATCAACATTCTAAACAAAGGCAAACATCCATAATCCATTTTTTTTGGAATGTGGGTGTAGTTTATCGGCTACTTTCTGCTAATTGGGGGTGCTGATAATCTTATGGGGACCTAAAGAAAATTTAAAATTATGGTCAAGTCCTGGCTGGAATATTCTGTGAGGTTTGATCATCTTAGCCAGCAGTCTTGAGGCTGATCTGGATATAGAACTTAGACATCTGGGCCATCTGCTTCTATCAGAAATTTCTCAGGGGGACTTTCTTGATCCAACCTGATTTTTCTTTTTTTTTATGTTTTTTTTTCTGTTTTTTTTTAATAATTTTTTTATTAAGAAAAGAAGAAAAAAAAATAAACAAAAAACAAGTTTCCACCTCCTCCCAGCCTCCCATTTCCCTCCCCCTCCTCCCACCCTTCTACCCCTCCCCCCACTCCTCTCCCCCTCCCTCTCCAGTCCACAGAGCAGTCCAGGTTCCCTGCCCTGTGGTAAGTCCTAGGTCCTCCCCCCTCCGTCCATATCTAGGAAGGTAAACATCCAAACTGGCTAGGCTTCCACAAAGCCAGCACATTAAGTAGGATCAAAACCCCGTGCCATTGTCCTTGGCGTCTCATCAGCCCTCATTGTTCGCCATGTTCAGAGAGTCCGGTTTTATCCCATGCTTTTTCGGTCACAGTCCAGCTGGCCTTGGTGAGCTCCCAGTAGATCAGCTCCACTGTCTCAGTGGGTGGGTGCACGCCTTGTGGTCCCGACTTCTTTGCTCATGTTCTCCCTCCTTCTGCTCCTCATTGGGACCTTGGGAGCTCAGTCCAGTGCTCCAGTGTGGGTCTCTGTCTCTGTCTCCATCCATCACCAGATGAAGGTTCTATGATGATATGCAAGATATTCGTCAGTATTGCTCTCGGATAGGGTCATTTCAGGTTCCCAATCCTCAGCTACCCAAGGAACTAACTGGGAACCTCATGTTGGGCACTTGGGAGCCCCTCTAGGGTCAAATCTCTTGCTCACCCTAAAGTGGTTCCCTTAACTAAGAATTGTGGTTCCGTGCTCCCCTATCCACCTTTCCTTTATCCCAATTCTCCTGATTCCCCAAATCCCCCCTCCTTCCCTTCTACCTTTTCTCTCCCCATCTCCCCTTACCCCCATCCCACCCCACCCCAAAGATCCTAATTTTCTCCCCGGCAATTGGGTCTACTTCCCTTAGCCAAGAGGATAACTATATGTTTTTCCTTGGGTTCACCTTCTTACTTAGCTTCTTTAGGTTCACCTATTGTAGACTCCGTGGCCCTAATTTATGGCTAGAAACCAATTATGAGCGAGTACATCCCATGTTCATCTTTTTGGGTCTGGGACACCTCACTCAGGATAGTGTTTTCTATTTCCATCCATTTGCCTGCAAAATTCGAGAAGTCATTGTTTTTTACCGCAGCGTAGTACTCTAGCGTGTATATATTCCATACTTTCTTCATCCATTCTTCCATTGAAGGGCATCTAGGTTGTTTCTAGGTTCTGGCTATTACAAATAATACTGCTATGAACATAGTTGAACAAATGCTTTTGTCATATGATAGAGCATCTCTTGGGTATATTCCCAGGAGTGGTATTGCTGGGTCCAGGGGTAAGTTGATCCCGAATTTCCTGAGAAACCGAAACACTGACTTCCACAGTGGTTGCACAAGATGGCATTCCCACCAGCAATGGATGAGGGTACCCGTTCCTCCACAGCCTCTCCAGCAAAGGTTATCCTTGGTGTTTTTGACTTTAGCCATTCTGACAGGTGTAAGATGATATCTCAAAGTTGTTTTGATTTGCATTTCCCTGATTGCTTAGGAAGTTGAGCACGACTTTAAGTGTCTTTTGGCCATTTGAACTTCCTCTGCTGAGAATTCTCTGTTCAGTTCAGTGCCCCATTTTTTAATTGGGTTAATTAGCATTTTAAAGTCTAGTTTCTTGAGTTCTTTATATATTTTGGAGATCAGAACTTTGTCTGTTGTGGGGTTGGTGAAGATCTTCTCCCAATCAGTAGGTTGCCTTTGTGTCTTATTGACTATGTCCTTTGCTTTACAGAAGCTTCTCAGTTTAAGTAGGTCCCATTTATTCAATGTTGCCCTTAATGTCTGTGCTTCTGGGGTTATACATAGGAAGCGATCTCCTGTGCCCAGCTCCTGTAGGGTACTTCCCACTTTCTCTTCTATCAGGTTCAGTGTGTTCGGGCTGATATTGAGGTCTTTAATCCATTTGGACTTCAGTTTTGTGCACGGTGATAGATAAGGGTCTATTTTCATTCTTCTACAAGATGACATCCAGTTGTGCCAGCACCATTTGTTGAAGATGCTTTCTTTCTTCCATTTTATACTTTTAGCTCCTTTATCGAAAATCAGGTGTTCATAGGTTTGTGGGATAAAATCCGGGTCTTCTATACGATTCCATTGGTCGACTTCTCTGTTTTTATGCCAGTACCACACTGTTTTCATTACTGTAGCTCTGTAATAGAGTTTGAAGTCAGGGATGGTAATACCTCCAGAAGATCCTTTATTGTATAGGATTGTTTTGGCTATCCTGGGTTTTTTGTTTTTCCATATAAAGTTGATTATTGTCCTCTCCAGATCTGTGAAGAATTTTGATGGGATCTTGATGGGGATTGCATTGAATCTATAAATAGCCTTTGGTATAATTGCCATTTTTACTATGTTGATCCTCCCAATCCAAGAGCAAGGGAGGTCCATCCATTTTTTGGTATCCTCTTCAATTTCTTTCTTCAATGCCTTAAAGTTCTTGTCAAATAGATCTTTCACTTCCTTGGTTAGATGTACCCCAAGATATTTTATGCTGTTTTTGGCTATTGTGAATGGTGAAGCTTCTCTGATTTCCCTCTCTGCTTCCATATCCTTTGTGTATAAGAGGGCGACTGATTTTTTGGAGTTGATCTTGTATCCTGCCACATTACTAAAGCTGTTTATCAGCTGTAGGAGTTCTTTGGTGGAGTTTTTGGGGTCGCTTATGTACACTATCATATCATCTGCAAATAACGAAAGTTTAACTTCTTCCTTTCCAATTCGAATCCCCTTAATTCCATTATGTTGTCTTATTGCTATTGCTAGAACTTCAAGCACTATATTGAAG